TTTGATATATATATATATATATATATATATATATATATATATATCATGCATTCAAGACAATTAATGGGGAAGGCCACTTTAAGTAATAAAGGTGTATGTTATTGAAATTAAAAATGTATTGCTAACATCAAATAATATATACAGTATAATTCAACAATTAGCTGTTTGAAATATTTTCTACGAATACCCAAAAAGATATATATGTATACATTTAAATAATCTAAATGAAAGTTATTAATTTGTATTAAATAATTATATAAATTAAATATTTAATATTTTTTTAAAAAGTAATAACGTATTGTTTATTAATTAGTTTAGTCTTATATTTTTGTATATCACAAAATCTCACATCGCCTATTTTAAAATAAAATTAATTAAAACAGAAAATACTTTGAATTTGTTTATATTAATTAACGATGTGAGCTGACTTGTTAAAACATATCATTCGGATAAAAAAATTACAAAATAATTTCTTCCCAATTATTACTTCCTAAGTGTTGTATTGTAGTCACTTTTGATCTAAAATTACAAATTATTATATATAAAGCGGGATTTTAATGTTTATCTATGCTTTATATAAACTCTTATAATGTTTATCTTATTTTAAGTTAACTTTTCTTTTTATCTTGTGTACAATTTAAGCATTTATAATATTAATGAAATCTTTAACTTAATTATAAAATATATTTTTTAATGAAAATAAAAAAATAATTAAGGGATATTTTGACACCTCCATCAATCCAAGTTGGTTGCACTGTATAGGCAAAGTAAATGTCAATTGTGCATAGAGCTGTCAAAACGGGTTACCCGGCCCGGCCCACCACGGGTTGGCCATTTGGTGGGCCAACCCAACCCGGCTCATTTATCAGTGAGCTCAAAAAAATCGAGTCTGGCCCGACCCACCACGGGTTGGTGGGTTAAACGGGTTGTCTCACCTTTAAAAAAAATAATTTTTTTATTTTTTTCTTCTTCTTAATATACAACTAAAACCCAAAAATTTAAAATTATTTTAAAAATCTCAGATTCTTAATTAAGACATCCATAAATGAATCATTCATCCCAAACATTAAATGATAATTTTAAATACAATCAAATCAAATCTAAATAATCTCAAATAGATAAATATAATCCAAAATCATCTTAAACTTCAAATATAATCCAAAATTATCTTAAACTTCAAATATAATCCAAAATCATAAAAATTACAAATCAAATCCAACATTAAATTATTATTGTCTCATGTTGGACTGCACCATGACCCAATAGTTATTGTATTTTTTCAAAAAAAAAATTTAATCACGGGTTGGTGGGCCAACCCGGCTCACCACGGGTTCAACCCGGGTGAGTCGGGTTGTTAGTGAGCCAGATTCAAATTTGACCCGCATTGAAACTTTCAAATTTGTTTTAACCCAACCTGGCTTGAACCCGTGGTGAGCCGGGTTGGCTCACCGGGCCAAGCCCATTTTGACAGCTCTAATTGTGCGACTGTCATTGTGCCAAGTGAATTTTGCTGATTTTATTCATTTTTTTTTTATTAAATTATTATTTACTTATTCATTTTGTCTAAATTTTTTAGTTTCCCTCGCATAAAGACGTTTGTGAGCACATTTTTTTGGTTTACCTCGCAAACCCTAAGTGCAAATTTCATGAAAGGAGAACCCAAACTCACGAAGGTGCGGTGAAGAAGCATTTTGCGATGAAGAAGGTCCATTACGAAGGTGAACATGAACAAGCATTTCATTCCACTTTAAAATTTCATCTGCTCTTTTTGCGATAACCAAAGAGAAAGCCTCCCCTCACTCGTTAGTATTCCACTTTTCTTGAGCCAACCACCCACATTAAAATTTCGTCTACTCTTTTCAGCAAGTCTAATCCGTGAATTGAAAATAGAAAGAAGTATTAGAGGATGATCCTGTTGGCAATTTCAACCTGGTGCTTAATTTGAGGTTTGCTTATTGGTTTCACTTGCTATTTTTTAGATTATTTTACAATCATGAGTATTTTATTTTAACTCACTTCTATTAACTATGTTATTGGTGAAGAAGTATGCTTAATTTGCTTATTGCTTGTGCTCTCTTTTGTATTTAGTATAATTGAATTTTGACTGCTATATGAATCAGAATAAAAATTTCACAAGAAAATAAGAAATTCATGAATATTCTGCATAGCTTTAAATTTCTAGTCTTTCTGCACTTGACATAATTTCAAAAACATTTTTTCTCTTTGAAATCATTTACAGGTAAGTACAACTCAAGTTTATGATCAAATGATTAAAGAGATAAGTTATGGTCCATCTAAATTTGCAACTTCTTTTAATGGCTTAATAGTTAATGGATATAAATTTCATACTAAGGACAAACAAATAATTAAGATAAAAGTACTTAATTCTCTAAAAATAATTATATATCATGAATTTTAATTTTTTTAATTAGATTAAACCATTAACAAACAAATATTTCAATAATTTATTTATTTATTTTAAAATAGCCTAGTCATTTATTAATTTTATTTTTTCAAATAACTTTTGCAAACATTAAAACGTAATAAAATTTAGAATTAAGAAATCAGTTAAAGAAAAATTTATTGTTTTTTTCATTATTTTATTTTTTTTATAAATTCATATCATTGTTATATTTTATAAACCCTAAACATTATTATTATTATGATAAATGATTTAACTCTAACTTAATAGAAAGCCTTATATGTGTAATGGACAAATTTTAAGAATCACTTATACAATTAAATATATGTTAAGAAGTATAAAATAATATCTAAGAAGCAACTTACTTGCAAGACCGGCTATTATTTCATGGAACCACATATGATGGTGGCCGAGTCCTAGCAAGCCCACTATAAAATTCACCCAAAGAATGATACAATTTGTGGCATCCCAAATACGAAGTTAACAATCGTTTGTTCAACACAGAACAATAGTGAAGATCTATTTTTGTTTTGTTTATTTGATTGTCTCGTAGATTTAGTAATGTCTGCCATCTTGTTTTTTGTTTTGTAGTGTTGTACTTCTTTTTTGTTATTTAGTCATATTCTATCATTTGGATTGGAAACTTAACTGACCCACCTTTGGTTAGCCTCTATTTTGTTTTCTAATGCACAAGTGATTCTAAAACAAAAGCAATTTACCAAAACAGGAGTCATCCTTCAGCTAGAAAACAACTTCATTCTCATTAAGGTCAAAATAATTTCTCTTAAGTGACAATACTTCTATATATACCTTTCAAAACATTTCCTTCAAAGCATACCAACAACTAACACATTTCCAAACACAAACCTCAATAGGGCTGCTATACCAATTAAGCAAAGCCTTGAGACAGTGTGTAAAAGAAAAAATCATTAGTCCTAGTTAACAAAAGCATGGCTTCCATTGGCTTAAAGCAACACGTTTTAGCTCTACTGCTTCTTCTCTCGATTTGTACTTTCCATGCAATGTCCAACAATCTCCATGATGCATCCATGTCCCAAAGACACGAGCAGTGGATGAAAAAATATGGTAAAGTATATAAAGATGCTGCAGAGAAGCAAAAACGTTTCCTCATATTCAAAGACAACGTTGAATTCATTGAATCCTTCAATGATGTTGGGAAAAAATCTTACAGGCTTGGCATCAATCACGTTGCTGACCTAACCAATGAAGAATTCAAGGCTTCCCACAACGGATACAAGAGCTCTCTTGGGCTGAGAATAACAACACAAACACCATTCAAATATGAAAACGTTACTGATATTCCTATTGCTATGGATTGGAGGCAGAAAGGAGCTGTTACTCGAATCAAGAACCAAGGCAAATGTGGTAAGAAACACAAAGAAAACCATACATTACAAGTGGTACTATTTATTTATATATTTTCTCTTTTGAAACTCACATCACATGACATTTTGGTTACAAAACAGGTAGCTGTTGGGCATTTTCAACAGTTGCTGCAACAGAAGGTATTCACCAAATAACTACGGGTAAGCTAGTGTCCCTATCAGAGCAAGAGTTAGTGGATTGTGATACAGTGGATCATGGATGTGATGGAGGTCTTATGGAAGATGGATTTGAATTCATTATAAAAAATGGTGGAATCACCACTGAGACAAACTACCCCTACACTGGAGTTAATGGAACTTGTGACAAAAACAATGAGGCTTCACCTGCAGCAAAAATTAAGGGGTATGAGATTGTACCTCCTAATAGTGAGGAGGCACTCCTAAAAGCTGTTGCAAACCAACCTGTGTCAGTTTCCATTGATGCTGGAGTTTCTGCTTTCCAATTTTACTCAAGCGGGGTTTTCACAGGACAATGTGGGAATGAAATAGACCATGGTGTTACGGTTGTTGGTTATGGTAGTACTGATGATGGTACTAAGTATTGGATTGTGAAGAATTCGTGGGGCACAAGATGGGGTGAAGAAGGATACATAAGGATGGAACGAGGCATAGATGCCAAAGAAGGTCTATGTGGCATTGCCATGGATGCATCTTATCCAACTGCTGTCTACGTAGAAAACCTTGCAATGATAAATTGCGTTTCATATTTGATTTATTTTGCATTGTTAGTGCATGTACTTGTACGCAATGAAATTTTTCCTTATTTTTAACAAATATAATTTCATAGTTATTTGAGGAATGATTCATTTACTTCTTTTGGAAGTCTTTAACCTTGTAAGCTCTTTTATCTTAGGATCATTTATCTTAGCTTAACAGTTAGTTGGTTGTTAACATAACACGTTAATTGTTAACCTTGCATGCATATTAATTATATTGAAGTTGCAGAGGTTGTGCAACAATATAGTGATACAAAACATGATTCCATTATAGTAGAACCGAATAATGATGCAGTAATTGTACAAAAACAGATTCCACTTCCTTTTCCATCCAAAACAGTTCAACCAAAGAGATTTGAGCTAGATAGTGAGTTGTTGGAGATCTTTAAGAAGGTGTAAGTCAGCATTTTTCTCTTTAATGTCATTCAACATATTTCTAAATATGTAAAGTTACTTACACTACTATAAAAATGGAAATTAGAGACGGAAAAAAATCCTTCACAAAATTAAAGAAAATCCGTCACATAATTATTAGTGACGGAATTTGTGACGGATTTTGGGTCGTCACAAAAAATGGCGTCACAAAATATTTAATGACGGAAAATTTTATTCGTTACTAAATTTTCCGTCACAAACTGTGAGGGATTCAAAAACCGTCACAAATTGTGAGAGATTCAAAATCCGTCACAAAATCCTAATTTTTTATTTTTACAAATTTTTAAATAAAAAAAATTAAATTATTCCAAATTTATGATTTATACAATATATATTATTTTCACTTTTTTTCTAATCTACAAGTATTAATTATTAATTTTCAGATAATTGATAATGGTAAGATTCGAACCCCTTATCTTCTACTCATTCTAACCTTAACACTCCTTCTCCATCCATCTGAGCTACCTTATCAATTTAGTACTTATTTAACAATATATATATAAATATGAAAGAATATCAATTTTTTTCACAATAATATCAAACATCATTAAACATCAAATTAAAAAATTTAAAATAGATTCATAGTTAAAATCATAATATAATTTATTTTAGAATTTTTATTTTATTAAATTAATTGAAAATTAATTATATTTTATCACTTTTTAATCAAGTGAATGAATTATAATGAATTAACAAAATTTTTAAAATATATTTTAATTGAAAGTATATTTTTAGTAAATATTTGAATATAAAAGTATTTTTATAAATAATTAAATGAAAAATATATTTTAAAATTTATTTCTCTCATAACACCACTTAAGTAAAAATTTTCAAAAAAAACTAAACTTATATTTGTTTGCGTTATTTTTCCAAAAAAAA